GAGTTTAAGGAAATTTGAATTTAAAAATAAAATAAAACGAAATGTCTCAGACTTTTGGACCCTTCTCAATACATGGTTTTGAAATATGTACTCAACATATAGTTATTAACCGTCACTGTTTTTGTTATATTGATAGAATATAAAGTGGAAAATATTTATATTAAATTAGATAATTGCATCTACTTTCTATACATTACATTTTTCAGATGTATATATAATTTCAACTAAATTTATACATAGCTCAAACATTGATAGAACAACATAACGATAGATAGATAGATAGATAGATAGATAGATAGATAGATAGATAGATAGATAGATAGACAGACAGAACGATAGATAGAATGATAGATAGAACAATAGACAGACAGACAGACAGACAGACAGACAGATAGATAGACAGACAGACAGACATAGACAGAACGATAGACAGACAGACAGACAGATCAATAGAACGATAGACAGACAGACAGACAGACAGACAGACAGATAGATAGACAGACAGACAGACAGACATAGACAGAACGATAGACAGACAGACAGACAGATCAATAGAACGATAGACAGACAGACAGACAGACAGACTGACGGACAGACAGACAGATAGATAGATAGATAGACAGACAGACAGACAGATAGACAGACAGACAGACAGACCAATAGAACGATAGACAGACAGACAGACAGACATGCATAGACAGATAGATAGACAGACAGACCAATAGAACGATAGACAGACAGACAGACAGACAGATAGATAGATAGATAGATAGATAGAGACAGACAGACAGACAGACAGACAGATAGATAGATAGATAGATAGATAGAGACAGACAGACAGACAGACAGACAGATAGATAGATAGATAGATAGATAGAGACAGACAGACAGACAGACAGACAGATAGATAGATAGATAGATAGATAGAGACAGACAGACAGACAGACAGACAGATAGATAGATAGATAGATAGATAGAGACAGACAGACAGACAGACAGACAGATAGATAGATAGATAGATAGATAGAGACAGACAGACAGACAGACAGACAAATAGAACGATAGACAGACAGACAGACAGACAGACAGATAGATGGGCCGCTTGTGAGATGCATGTGAAATTTGTCCATGCCAAATTTTCTACATTGCACCTAGATAAGACAGATAGATAGATAGATAGATAGATAGATAGAGACAGACAGACAGACAGACAGACAGACAGACAGATAGATGGGCCGCTTGTGAGATGCATGTGAAATTTGTCCATGCCAAATTTTCTACATTGCAGCTAGATAAGACAGATAGATAGATAGATAGATAGATAGATAGATAGATAGATAGATAACGATAGATAGAACGAAAGACAGACAAACAGACCAATAGGATGATAGGCAGACAGACAGATAGACAGATAGATAGACAGACAGACAGACAGACAGACAGACCAATAGAACGATAGACAGACAGACAGATATATAGTCAGACAGACAGACAGACAGACAGACAGACAGACCAATAGAACGATAGACAGACAGACAGATAGATAGTCAGACAGACAGACAGATAGAACGACAGACAGATAGATAGACAGACAGACAGACAGGCAGACAGACAGACAGACAGATAGATAGACAGACAGACAGACAGACAGACAGACAGACAGACAGACAGACAGACAGACAGACAGACAGACAGATAGATAGATAGATGGGCCGTTTGTGAGATGCATGTGAAATTTTTCCTTGCCAAATTTTCTACATAGCAGCTACATTTAGTTTTACGTCAAAACAAATCAATCTTCATTGTTGCAGAACTCTGTAAATCCATGTAAATTTTTAAAGGTTAGCCTCGGTTTTAAAGGCTAGACAATTATGACAGTTTCAGGGTAACTGTGGGGTGTTACAGCTGCTTAAATGTGCAAGTTAAATGTCCCACACTGAGAAAAAACATAATGCTAATTCATGTTAAAATTTACATTTCAAATTTTTTTTCCTCAAATAAAACCGATTCCACAAGAGGCAGAAAATATTCCCACGCCCATTTACAACAGTTTTACAAGTAGAGAGCTCTGCGAAGACACTGACAGCAGTGCTGATGGCATAACACATGTTCACAAAAGTCCTGCAGCTCAACTCTTCTGTAGGAAGAAAGGCAATCTTAGCTACTTTTTGTCATAAATTAAATCCAAATAATATGTCAAAGCAAAGTTATTAATTTGCAGTGTTTGGTCGATCAAATTTAATTACAATCGAAGATCAACGCGTTTCAAATATCACCTGTCTATATGTCACTTTAATATAAATTTCTCAGTAGTATTGCTATTTTTTAATTTATGTAGCATTTCAGCAGCAAAAATGATTAATTAATAACAGTCAAATTCAAATTCTTTAATGAATCAGTCACAAACACATTCACAAAATACCTTCGTGACCAAAGAGATGCATTACAATGTTATAGCTTGTGGTGCAACTACAATACAAAAACATGTAATCAGCATTTTCCCATTCTTTTTAAGATGAAAAATATTTAAACATGCATGCTTAAAACAAGATGTACAAGATGTACAAGATGAAATTTGACAAATTACAAAAAATTGGCAAAACTACCAAAACTCACTAAATTTAAAAATAATAACTAATTGAAAATATGAATTAAAACTATAACAGTAATGATACTAAAATGACCCTGTCTTACAGAAATGTTCTCATATTTGAGTAAATTTATGCATCTTGCATAATTTTTTTCATTAGTTGTTGATAAAAAAGTTGTTGCATTATTGTTATTTATGCTGTTTTGATATATTTTTTGCAACAGATTCTAATAAAGAAGCAGGTAAATCTAGACAGTTGGCGCTCCCTCCAGGACAGACAGTGAATGACTGTGGTTGTTGGCACAATTAGTCCTAATCAAATGTTATTTGCATTTTTAATGAATTCAGTGACCAAAATACCCTGACAACAAAGATTCAATAACCATTTAAAGTCTATTTTAAATTTATTGTGCTTCCACAAAGTCTATAATGCTTCAACAACTTGAAAGATTATCCAGTGACACAGCCTTGACTCTGAGGGACAGAAAAAGGCAGCCGTTTTGGCATGTTTACGACTGTCCGGTGAGGAATATTTTAAGCAGGCATGTGCGACACATTCTGGCAGCGTCTTCAAAACTTTTCTCTCTGTCATCCAGTCAACCACATACACACACTGTATGTGTCTTTCCTTTACATATTCTCACAGCTCAGTTTCTCCGGGCCCCAGACTCTCGGAAAGAGGCCCTCTTCATTCAATTTCATCATTCACTGCATTCTGCCATACTCCAGCGTAAAAAAAAAAACCCTAAGTAAACACAGAAACGCAGATGTTTGCTCCAGCCTGGGGCTTGAGGCATGAGAGGAGCCCCTTGTGTTGGATCACACTCCTCAGGTGCAAAGCACTCTACATATTTTGGACCTCTGAGGCCAGAAACATGTCTCGAAATGATTTGCTGAAAAGTCAATATTTTCATTTTTGGAATAAAAGTATTCATTTGTGTCATGATGCTAATTATCACAAAATTGTTTACAAATCTGTACCTGTTATATGTTAAGTTATATCCAATTTTACAACTTGCAATGACAAGGCAATGCCTAAAACAACAACAACAACAAAAAACCTAGAATACTTTTTTTGCTTTTATACAATTATGAGCTTCACATTTCTGCATTTACACCCTACAAATATTGGCCTCATTCACTTCTATTCAAAGTATCTCACTGTAAGGTTGTAAATAAATGTTTTGTAAATAAAACAATTTAAAAATCATTTTTGTGTGCTACTGCAGCCAACATAATCAGTTAACATTAAAATATTCATGTATCTACAAGATGTAACAAAAAATATGTGTTAACATGATTTGTTTTTGTGAAAAATCACTTGCTAACCTTTTCTAGGTAAACTTATAGCCAGTTTTACAATTATGGTTCCACATAACGCCTAAATCCCTAAACTGACTGTAAAAATTATAACTTTATGAATAATACATGTTTTAACAGAAGAATTAATGTAAGTGCTTTTTTTAAATTATAAATGTCATATTTCTGCATGTAAACCTTCCAAAAAAATCCATTGTAAGTGCCTACCTTATGGCAATTTAATTTTTTGTAAAGAAAACAAATTATTATTATTTATTTATTTTTATAATAATTAGGATTATGCCACATCATGCAAATAATGTTAACATGATTTTAATTTGAAAACTACATACTAACCTTTTCTGTGCAACGTTTTAAAATTTTTTACAACTTTTTAAGTAAGTGCCCCCATAACCTTTGTTTGTGAAGGAAGCAATGTATTCTAAAAAAGAAAAAATATTAAATTATAAAAAAATTCTAATCAAAATTATGCCACAAAATGTCCTTAACTTGCATATTTTGGTAACAATTTACAATAAGGTTAATTAGTTTACATTAATTAATGCATTAACTAACATTAACTAACAATGAGCAATACACTTGTTACAGTTTTATTAATCCTGGTTAACGTTAATAAATAAAACAAATAACTGTTTATTGTTAGTTCATGTTAGATTAAGTCCATTAATAAATATGAACAAATAAAAAAATGTATTTTAATAATGTATTAGTAAATGTTGTAATTAATATGAACTGAGCTAAATAAATTCGTTACAAGTATTTTTCATTGTTAGTTCATGTTAACTAATGTAGTTTACTAATGTTAACAAATGGAACCTTATTCTAAAGTGTTATTAATAAATTCCCAATGCACTAATGCCAGTAAAACGTCATTAGGTCATAAAAACAAACAAACAAACAAACAAACAAAAAAAACACTGCACCCTTCCCATATCATATGATCGTTTCAAGCGAGATCCCACAGAGCTCGATCCCTGCCACCTTTTCTTTCCGGTGCCACCCCCACCCCAAAAGCAACACATTCCCAAGTCTCCACCCCTCCTTCACCCTCCTGGTCAAATTCCATTCACTGCTCTCACGACCACAAGCCCAATCTCAGGCAGGACGTCCCTGAGAACATCAGCCGCTTTTTCTTTGCTCTTGCTCAGCTAAATCTAAAAATGTCCTGGACTCGACCTCTTCTTCTCACCTGTCTGGTTGTTTTGTCCGTCATCACCTGTGAGTAACCAGACCATGGTTTACTGTACTGACCAAGGGAAGTGTTGATTTACCAATGTGGGGAACCACAGGTCTAACAGTCCCTGGAAAGGGTAGCAAATCTTTTGGACTTACCTCAACCGTGTTTCTTCTGTTACAGTGTTCCATGGAGCCGACAGCGCCGCTGTGTCAGATAAGAAGGCAGCCAATCCTCAAGGTGACCAAAAATTCACAATGTTGCTGTAGATCTTTCTCAAGAGTTCTTCCCCCTCATCAATGTTTTTCATCACCGAAGGAGCACTGAGAAAGGTCTTCATGCCAGAGGAAGATGCTTCCAGCTTCTTCAAACGCAGAGGCAAGAGGGCTGTGAAAACTCAAGATGAGATAAACGGTGAGGCTATTTGTGCTTGAGTAAAAACTCAATTCAAGCGCAACCCCTTGAGCAATTGTCAACTACAATGGACAATCCAGAATGTTTGATTGAACTGAACTGAGTACAACTGGGGATTTTATATGAATAATAATGCAAAATAAAAATGTATATATAGAAACACTATAAAGCATTCAAATGTTTACCGTCAGATTTGGAAAGAAATCACTTATTTTATTCAGCAAGGATGCATTCAACTTCTATTCATCAAAAAAAAAAAAATCTGAAAAATTATCAGTTTCCACAAAAATATAAAGCCATAAATCTGATAAAAAATGCAGCTTTGCATTACAGAAATAAATTAAAATATGAATAAATAAATACATTTTAAAGTATATTCAACTTAAAAAAACTGTTATTTTAAAATATAATAATATTTCAAAATATTACTGTTTTTACTTTATTTTCGATCAAATAAATGCAGCATTAGTGAGCAAAAGAGACTTCTTTTTAAAACATTACAAAAATCTTACTGACCACAAACTTTTAAACAAAAAAAATCACAATTTGAAGTCTTGCAAAATTAATTTTCATCGATCACATCACTTTTGTGGCTTCTAGGACTTTATGGTCAGGCTTGCTAGTGTAAAACAGTAATAAAGAGCCTTTTTTAGTAGCGGCTAGCACTGGCCACACAGGTGCTGCATTTTGAGCCAGCTGAGGAATGTAAGGACGGCAGACCGCAGCACATAGCAGGAACCACAGGGCAGGCTGGAGAAACCAGCCTTCAGTCTTCAGCTCCTGCCAGTGCTGGCGGAGGGGCTCTGCTGCTGCTGCGGCTTCGACCTGGACTTAGATTGTTAATTTATGGTTATGGGCTCACCAGAAATTATGTTTGACTCACCTGGGAGAAATTATGACTGTGTATTTAAATGGTAAGGTGAAGATCAGGACAAGAGGACTTTCTTTTGTGTGGAACATCTCAAGTGGAATCATAAATAGCTCCTTTTGGACTTGGAATGAAATAAAATTAATTAGTATGCAGCTTTGATGTTTTATAATTCACTGATAGTCACACCAAATCAGGTGATCCTATTATGTAATACAAACAGTGATGTAATAACAAACGGTCTTTATTTATGAATACTATTTAGCACAGTGAAACTGAAAAGACATTATATTTCATAATTCATATCATGAAGTGAGGATAAAATGCATTTAGTTAAAGTACGGCATAATAAAAACTATGATACAATAAAAAAACCGGTCTGCTTACTATGCTAAAATGTCTTCTGAATCATTTGTGAACGTTTTCATACCTTGGTTCGTGTTGTTTGAGCATATTTCTGTTTTTATTTCCTCTTTTTCTTCCTCTCACATTTTGTTGTCTTATTAGCTGAACAGAGACAGAGACTGGCCGCAGATGAGAGAAGGAGGGAGTATCATGAGGAACAGAGGAATGAGTTTGAGAGTAACGCTGAAGAGGAGAATGACGGTGAGAACTCAAATCACTCATGGCGGCCATATTGGATCAGGCAGGCAGCATTAGTAGCGTTCTGAGATCATTGAGATCATTCAACACAAGTCACTCAAGTAAACATGATTACTCATGACCTTAGCTGAACCTTGTAGGGTTTTACAAAACAGGTTTAAACAGGTTTACCAAATGTATTTATGCGATATTTTTTTGGGGGGGAGGGTTCATACACCTTTCATTTCAAGGTGTATATTTAAAAAATATATATCTTTAATTAAATTTAGTTCAGGATATTTTTCATGTTGCATGGAATGTAAATAAATAAATTTAATGCCCAGTTTATGTACTCGCTTTTGTTTAGGCATATATGTATATGTATGTATGTATATGTATATATATATATATATATATATATATATATATATATATATATATATATATATATATATATATATATACACACACACACA